AAAATTAAATGAATTTAACATTGATTGCATCACAACTGAAATGGGAGAACCCAGAAAACATAAGTGACTGTTTAAGTAAGACCCTTTCTATATTTGGTAACAATTCAACTTTAGATTTTTCTTTTTACCATTAATGAGATGATTTATAGCCCAAAAACTTCTATGATTTATTTAAGATTACAAGTTTCAAAAGTCTTCCTTTATTTCATAAAATCCATGTCCAGCCAAACACTTTCATATAAATTGGGACGGAGAGAGTATAATTTATGTAAGAAAAATAAATAATAAGTTAGATTATTATATATAGTTACGTGACCAACTAATGAATAGAGAAATATTTAAGTAAAAAAGTAAAATAAGATTGTCAGAAAACTATTTTAGTTATATTAATTAGAGGAAGAAATTGAGTTATTAAAAATTAATATGACAATAAAGAAATAAATTTATCAAAAATAAAAGATAATTATATAAATAATATACTACTATATAGAGAGAGAATACTAGTAATTTTGGGGCCCTTAAATTTTTGGGGCCTAAAGCAAGTGCTTCACTTGCTTTAGGGTTGGGCAGCCTCTGCTCCCTCCAAGAACTACCCACCTTACTCTTGGGTGACTCGAACTCACAACATCTTAATTGGAAGTAGAGGGTGCTTACCACTAAAGCAATTACTCTAGTCAAATAAAATACTTTTTTTAAATAAACACTTTTAAAAAATCACTTTTCAAAATAAGTTAGATTTTAAAAGCTCGGCCAAACGGGCTATCGCTATGCTTAATTGGAAACAAAATTTATACTAATATCTTACGTATTAGGGAGTAAATTTGGTAGGCACAAATAGTGTCTTTTTCCCCTTACACTAGCGTTTGAATAGAAGAATTGCAAGCATTGCAAGAAAACAGAATGAAGTACGTAACTGTCCTACGTCAATTTTGATAGTAAAATGTTCTATATTTATTTACTTTTTGCAGCCTAAATGTAATTATGCCTAAATAATTTTTGAAATATCTAGTTTTCAAACAAAAAAAAGGCAAAACTTTAAGGTCGAATCTGATGGTTAAAAATGGTGACCAGTGACAAGTAACGTGAACTCGTCAATTTCACCAGGCATGGAAGTGTTTTTTCTTTTTAACCCAAACAACCCAAGAGTAATCAAACTAAGTAACTGTCTTGGTTCTCTATCTACTTCTCCAGTCAATCACGTATAATATCAGCAAAAATTGGTTATTGCCTATTTGCACCCAAAAAGGGGAAAATAAAATGTGTAGTTCACTATTTCTGTTTCTTATGAGGGGAGGCAAGAGGAGTCAAAATATCAATAAACACTTTTTGTAGGATAAGTATGGTTAAACTGTCATTTTCTCCTATATCCCATTGCACAGGATTCTAATGATTAATGGTTAGGAGTTTAATTTTCAATACAACTAATTTTACGATACAAGCATTGCACGTGTATCTTGGGTAAAAAAGATTTTAAAATCGTATAAATATTAACAAAAAGATGTTTGGTGGCTAACTTTGGTGCTCAGATTAAACCTTTCTTTATTATAGCATAGATTATTTATTACTTTTTCCATCCCTCTTTGGTTATCCAATTTTAATTTTTTTTATTATAATGAGAAAATAAAAGAATATGAATTATTTATATTTCTCTTTGAAATAATTCTTTTTTTTTTATGAAAACAAGGACTTCTCAAGAAGTCATGAACACCCAATTATGATTCCTTCTTCTACAATATGTTAAGAATATTATGGTTATGGAAAGATTTAAATTCTGAAATATTAGTAGTTCTTACATAATTCAAATAAGGAAACATTTAATAGTTAAAATTTTAGTTTTTAAATGTCTTCAATATTAGAAAAATAATAAGATAATAATGACTATTTTTTCTAGTGGGAACTCTATATTAAAGGGGTAAAAAGGACGAACAATATCTTTAAGGGGCTTTGTATGTGTGTCGCACGTGTATCCCATGTCATGAGTAAAAACTTTTTAAAATCACATAAATATTATTTAAAAAGTATCTTAAATTATAAAATAAAAATTAAAGAAATTAGTGTAAGTTCCTTAATGTAAAAATGTTGATTTTGTTTAGCTAATTCTATAAAGAAATAAATTTATGTTAACATTGCTCACAACAGTATTTCATTCCGTCTAAAACCTTTAAAAAAAATTAGGAAACAACTTAAAAAGGTAAACATGATTTTTCAAATACCTTTTTTCAACTTAACTTCAAATACTATTTTTTTAAAATATCACAAATTTATGTCCGACTTCAATTTTTACTCAAGAAATATACTTTAGTTTGACCTATTATTCATTATAAAATAGTTTTATTATTTTAGATGCAATTGTTTTTTGAAGAAATAGTACATAATTGAGGGGTAAGAGAAAATGTCACTGTTACAATAATGTGTTCATCAGTTATAATATTCTTTGTTTTGAAAATAAATTAGCATTAAAATAATTTTATAGAGATCTAAGAATAGTTCTTTTCTTACTTGAAATTAAACGAACTTGCCACTTTACAAGAAGAAATTAAATTGTGTTTAAAGTAGAAACATAGCATTTCTACAAATCCAAATCCAAAATGTAAGTAAAAAGGGATAAAAGAAAAGTTCCTAATACTTTTGCTTGATAATCAGAAATTTTGCCAAAAAGTTTTTCTACAATTCAAAACGAAAAGTTCCTACTTTTGTTTGATAATCAGCAAATTTGCCGAAAAGTTTCCCCATAACAAAAGTTAGAATTTCCTTTTTAATAAGGTATAATCGAAAACTATTTTGATTCCTTTTTGGAAAGATATTTTTCTTTTACTTAACTTTGACTTAGATAATTAAATGATTATTATTCCTAAATAGTAGGGTATTAATTAAATAACTATTCCTAAATAGTAGGAAATTAGTTAAATGAATATTTTATTTTTAAATATTAGGAGAATAATCAAATGACTATTTTGTCCAACGTGATTTTTATTTTAAAATGATAAAAAAGGCGAATGACGTTTCACTAAGGGCCTTCGTACTTTTAATGTAGTATATAGAGTATAGATAGATAGATAGTAATACAAAAAAATGTTGCACTATTACACCATATAAAAAACACCTAAAAGATAACAACGCATAATTATTCATAAAAAAATGATACAAATAATCTGAAATTAAGACGTGCTACCTATTACAATAAATTAAAATACACTGATAATGTAAATTTATTTATACTGCTAGTTTTATAAGTTAATTTGCAAAACTAAATTCTCAACCCAAAAATTACAGTTCATATACAGCTCTTTCGATGAAAAAGCTCTACAGTCTTCATATGTGTTCCTTCCCTTTCAAGATTTTGGCAAAGGTCGTGTAAGACAATTCACAATAATATCAACATTAGTTTATTTCACATAACAGCCAATTACTCTTTATCTTACCTTCACGTAACCAGTTTGTATGAATATTACTACATCATTGGAAAAGAAATTAAAAGGACTATATACTTGGAAAAGAAAATCCCAATAAATCTGAGAAAGGGGAAAAATAGAAAAATAATTTATAAATTTGGAAGACTGTGATGAGTAAAGAAAGACTAATGATAGTAGTGTTGCTGCTAATACGGGCATGCGTTTTTTCCCAAATCTCTCTACTCATTTGACAAAATCATCACTCCATCTCTCTCAACTTTTTAATGGAAAGGTAACAATAAAACTACTTTCCTCGAAATATTATTAATTATAGAAAATAATCTAGAACAAATGGTATTTGGTATACATATATTGGGGTGGTTGGTATATTAATTATGTCAACAACTTCACAATAGTTGCATATTTATTTTTATAACAAGTATGTAAAAGTGAGAAAATACCTATTCACATTTAGTGTTTGAATCATACCAAAAGTGTAACTATAAATAAAGATAAACTTTAGACGTAAGAATACATACAATTAAC